AGAAAAGCAGTAAAGAAAATGACAGCAACATAACCATAAATTGTCATTTACTGATGTTTTCTCTCACCTATACCAGTAATAACATGGAAATGAGCACATGGAAGATGCAAGACATTAGCTTAAGTGTGAGGTGTTTGATGAATCACAGACATCTTATGAAGCAAAAGCAGAGTTTTTGCCCTTCAAAAGATTTCATTATGTTGAGTGGTGAGCGATGTATAGAAGGTGTTGATCCGCCACAAACCCTTATTTCTTGTTTCTTAATCCCTTTCCATTCACTCGCCTCACAAATCAATATATAACCCCCAAATCCATTTGATTATCCGATTGCCAGACTGATTCTGATACGCTTTTCAGAGTGTTAAAGCGTAAATGCAAGGCTTTGTCAGCTGTGTCTGAATTGGAAGTCACTTGAGGAAATTAAGACAAGAACCCAACATGCCTGCAAGCATTTTTGGTATTTTAAAAAGTATTTTATTTATTATTATTACAATAATTTTTGCCTATAAAATGTTATATAATTATTTATTATATAATACATCTTCTATTATTCTCTATAAAAGTATAGAAGTTTTCTTTTTTCTTTTTGTGCGTGTGTATAAAATAGGGGCTGAAGAATGTATCATCTGAGCAACAATATCACAGTGTGTATCTGAAATTATATTAATATGGCAATATATATCGCACCAAAAAACATATCACAATGTCAGATTTTTTCAATATCGTGCAGCCCTAGTATAAAATATTAAAACTAATAAGATGCCAAAACCATAAAAAAGAATTGCTAAATGAAACATTACTAAACATGTAAATAAAATAAAAATAGCAGAAAATCTAAAAAGAAAAGTAACAACACAACAAAAATATAATGAGTATATAAAAGATAAAAGCACTGATAACCCTTATAAAAATTTAGTTTAGAAGTAGAGCTGAAAAATATTTAATCTGATCATCAATATCACAATGTGTGTATTCCCAATAGTCACATCACAGATTTTTAAAGATGAAAAGACAAAGATACCAATGCAATTTTTTCTTTGATGACAATTTTCAATTTCTGTAGGCTATTTGAATACTGTTAGACTCCCCAGAAAGTCTCAAAGCATTGTTTATATATGCTTGTAAATTATTATATTTTATGCAGATGAATTGCAGAAAAATAGACTTGATCATCCCAGTCAATCTAAATTAATGAATGAACTATTCAAATCATATGGTAAAATTAAACTCATATGGCAATATATATCACTGCAAAACAAAATATCGCTATGTCAGATTTTTCCAATATCGCGCAGCCCTAGTATAAAATAATACAACTAATAAAATGCCAAAACCATAAAAAATACTAAAAGAAACATTACTAAACATGCAAATAAAATTATTATTATTCAATTGAAGATTGCTTTTATTAAAGTAAAATTGTAGTAATTTGCGGTTTACCCTCACAAGAGGTTTTTTTTTGTTGTTTTTTTGGGAGGACATTACCTATTCAATACATAGACATTTGTATTGACCATAAAACATAACATAATGCAATAACAAAATCTAAATAAATGAAAAACCCCTGTACCAAAAAGTATTAATGAAGACTCCTTCATAATAATACAATACATTTTGCTCCATTTTATGAATTTCTTAGAGTATGTATTTATTCAATCATTCTTTTTTTTTCGTTTAGTCCCTTTAATCTGCGGTTGCCACAGCGGAATGAACCGTCAACTTATCCAGCACATGTTTTGTGCAGAGGATTCCCTTCCGGCTGCAACCCATCTCTGGGAAACACCTATACACACTCATTCACACTCATACACTACAGACAATTTAGCCTAACCAATTCACCTGTACCGCATGTCTTTGGACTCTGGGGGAAACCAGAGCACCCGCAGGAAACCCACTCAAACGCGGGGAGAACATGCAAACTCCACACAGAAACGCCACCTGACCCAGCCGAGGCTCGAACCAGTGACCTTCTTGCTGTGAGGCGACAGCACTACTTACTGTGCCACCGCGTCGCCTGGATATATATTCCAAAAGTATAAACTTTTCTGATTTGATTCTAATGACAAATTTAGGCTGAAATTCTTTTAAACATTTACTCTGAAAAACATTGCACAACAGAAATGGATAATGCCCTATATACTTCACAATTCTATCATATGATCATGTTAAACTATATCACTCCAGCACAAAATATTCCCCCCTCTAATGCATGAGCATGCTTCCCATTTTGTAAGCCTTTATCCTCATAACCTCCTCTTCACACCACAGAACGTTCTCCATCAATCATATTCACGCGAGACTTCTTGATGTTTCACTTTTTGATTACTAGTGCCAAGCTCTTTTTCATTTCTTGCGTTAGCGCTCAACGCCGTCTCTGTGTGGACCAGTGTTCTGTAATTATGTTCATAGTTCACAGGCAGACAGTAAATATGACACTTGGGGTGCAGATGTTTGCCAACAGCACTGTAATCCATTCAGTTATTAATTAGGCAAGCTGGTCCTGTCCCTCTTCCTCCTTTCACTGTCTTCTCTCTCCTTCTCCTCTGTGGCTGTATTTCTCCCTCATATGTGCTTAGCTGCTAGGCGAAGTGTTAGTGTGTGTGTGTGTGTGTGTGTGTGTGTGTGTGTGTGTTTGCACTATCTGTGACTGTCTGTCACAACAGCTTAATCCATCTTGGCAAACTGAGGCAAATGGGAAATCCACTGATTAGTATTCGTGGCCGTTACCAAATTTCCCTTCCAACTCTGCAGTGGTAAACTTGTGTTTGTCCTGGATATTTATTATAGCAGAGTTGCAATTAGCATAAATATTTTAACTCTATTTTCAAATAAAAGTGGTAGATCTTGGAAAAAATGGAAAATGGCTGTTCATGGGTTTGGGTTGATCAATTCAATTCATGTCTATTTCTATAGTGCCTTTACAATGTAGATTGTGTCAAAGTTGCATAGAAGTTCTAGTAAATTGAAACTGTGTCAGTCCAGTTTTCAGAGTTGAAGTTCAGTTTAGATGATGATCAAGATGTAGGTGAGTTTTTTTTTTTCTTATTTAGTAGATTTTTTTGTAATGATTTCAGCTAAAATGCTGGTTCTTGGTAATTCACAAAGTGCAAGTCTGATATCCACCAGCTCTTTAAGTGTCTAAAAAAATTAAAGATGAAAAATAAATAAGTAATAACTGTGGCTTTGGTTAACTTCTTAAGTAGTGTACAATAATGTGAACATTACCTTTAATCCAAAGCTGCTGCAAAAGTCCTCAGTTTGTCATCAGGAACCACAGGTATTAATTTATTTGGCTTGTTTTTTTGTCTGTCTCTCTGATGGTAGCAGATTTTATGAGTAGTACCAAGGTTTCAGCTAGAAATCTTCTTTCCCTTTAATGCAAGGGCACTGTGGTCTGTGAGTGGAAATGTTTGAGAATGTGAAAATGTAAAAATGAACTAATATATATATAGGGTTAAAGGATTAAAATGATGTTTCAACCATTTGACCAAGATAAACACATTCTTGTAAGTCTAATTCAGAATTTTAAATCTCTAGAATAAAAATTATTCTAATTTAACATCTGATTAAAGTAAATAAATGTGATATAAAAAAAGCTGTCTGGTTAAAACAAGTAAATAATTATGCAAATTAGTAGAAAAAATTTAAGACATTTCCCTAAATTAACAGACAATTAAAGTAAAATTTTTGGTAATGCTTTAAGTATCAATTGTCACTATTAAATAGTGGCTGTCTGTCTGTTATTAAGATATTGACTGTTTATTAGTATTTATAAAGTACATGTTCAGCATGACCTTATTCTACATCTATATATACACTGCTTTAACCTAAGTATTTAGTAACTATTAATAACAAGCAAAAGGCAGCACAGTGGTGCAGTGGGTAGCACAATCACCTTACAGCAAAAAGGTCACTGGTTCGAGCCCCGTGTTCGTGCTCCGGTTTGAGGTGAATTTAATAAGCTAAAGGTGAATGTACAGTTGGAGTTTATGGGTGCTTCCCGGTGTTGGGTTGCAGCTGGAAGGGCATACGCTGTGTAAAAACATATGCTGGATAAGTGAGAAGGGTTTGGATGCAGACCTGGTGCAGTGCAATTGGTAGCTGCATCTAAGGCTTTTTAATGGGCTCACCTAACCCCTCCTCTAACCCTACACCTCACAGTGATGTCACTCGCTCCATTTGATTGTGTTGTGCCTGACATTGCATCGCTGATTGATGCAATCTGAGCTTGCATCATAAAGGCTGCATCCAGATATATTAGGATAAGTTGGTAGTTCATTCCACTGTGGCAAACCCAGATTAATAAAGGCACTGAACTGAAAAGAAAATGAATGAATGAATGAAGAAGCAAATTGGGAGTTTGAGCTACAAGTCATAGTCAATGGTTTGTTAATAGCAAGAATTGTACTTTTAAAAATAAAGCGTGATCAAATGTTTCTCAATTTAAAAGTATTAATTGGTTTTTATACAAGAAACCAGATGTCCATGATACATTTCATGGATAATAGTTCCTCAAACATAGATGAATATTTAATTGTCCAGGGCATCTAAAAGACTAAAACCCCCTGTTTTAGCATACTAAGAACCATTAACAGCAAAAAAACTGTACTTCAGTAATACTTGGAGGGGCTCGAATGAGCTAGCTGCCTAATGTTTTTTCTAAAGCAAACATGCATATAGATCCAACACAATAACCATATTATCTATGAAGAGTTCAGGACCATGGACAGCTCAGCATTAAGTTTACAGAATGCCCTATTCAATCCTATAGACGATATCTGACATTTGCATGCAGTTTGCTCCCTGCCATGACCAATCCAGATAGAGCTGGGCGGAGAGAGAGTACAGATTCAGACTCTGAGGAGGGAGGCTTTCCATCAGAGACTCCAGGAGATGAGTGCACTGCATTGATATCTTCCACGTTGCGCGCGAAAACCACACGATCCCTCCCCGATATTACGCAGTCTATTTAAACGCAACATTCACACACCCATTCCATCACTCACCACTTTGGCCGTCTCACCTGCACGCGCGGTGCCCAGGAGAGGATTTCAGTGATGGATCAGGACAAGTACCTGCCGGAGCTCGTGGCCGAGAAGGAGAGCTTGGACGCGTCGTTCGTGCACGCGATGCGCCTTCTGGCTGAAGGTAAAAAAAAAAAAAAACTAAGATCTGCTTCTGCCTTCATGTTCAGGATCGGCTCTGTTTGCTGTGGCGTCGCTGCTGTACAGTGTTTCTGGCGTTATCACGTATACAATATTCATTAATCATGCATGAAACTGATATATAGACGCCAATATTTCTAGCGCGTAACAATGAATCATGCCTGTCAGGTGATTATGTTCTTTATTTGTGTTTTTAAATAATCCTTATTTAATAAAACGAGTTTTTTTTTTATAAAACGAGCAGGCAAATTCGGTCTTTTTTTATATATTTTGTGTATATATTTTGAATGTGTAGGAATGTCTTTTTCAGTTTTTGGCACTGTTCAACTTATGAGCTAAATAAAGAGACATTTTCTTGCTGCATGAACCACAAAATAATATTTTTGGCTAAAAAAAGTTTACGTGATCTGTCGCTTGTGTTTTAACAAAGGAATCTAATTAGCTAAATTTCAGGTAGTAACTGAAAGCTGGCGAACGTGTTTCTATAATGAAACCTGTAGTGTTAATCCAGCTCATTCATTAATGCGTGGTGTAATTGATCTATTAAGCTCAAATTATGTGTCATATAAATCGATATGCTTATTTTACAACAACATTAAAGGAATTCCTGAATATTTCTAAACAAAGACAAATATTGCAAAAGTTGTTTTTATCTTAACTTTCTGTGGGCTACTCAAAATCTCAAAATCACGTCTAAAAAAACTCTCTTTTTGTAATATAAAAATGTAGCCTATTATATAGAAGATTGACATGCCGTTTGTGCGCATGCACAGCCCAAAAACCGATAGCGACGGAAAATTCGCATGGAGCATCGTTTTTTAAAATACAGGTCCAAAAAAGAGCACAAAAGGTTAGATTATACAGTTAAAATCTGAATTATTAACCCCCTTTTATTTTATAAATATTTCCAAAATAATGTTTAACAGAGCCAGGAAATTTTTACAGTATGTCTGATAATATTTTTTTCTTCTGGAGAAAGTCTTATTTGTTTTATTTTGGCTAGAATTAAAGCAGTTTTAAGCTATACTTTTTTAGATACTAGAACAAACCATCGTTAACACCCATATTCTGCCTAGTTAGCCTTGTTAACCTAGTTAAGCCTTTAAATGTCACTTTAAGCTGTTATAGAATGGTTTTGAAAAAAATAGTAAAATATTATTTACTGTCATCATGGCAACAATAAAATAAATCAGTTATTAGAGATAAGTTATTAAAACTTATGTTTAGAAATGCATTAAAAATCTTCTCTCTGTTAAACAGAAATTGAGGAAGAAAATAAACGGGACTAATAATTCAGGGGGTTTAATAATTCTGACTCCAACTGTATATATTGTTTCTTCATGCTATGAATTATTATTATTTTTTATCAAGCATTGGTTGACCTTTTGATAATGGAGGTTATCTTTAAAAAGTACAAAACAATTCCAAATTTACTTAGTGGTGTCAGGAACACAATTTACCCAAATAAATTGGTTGAATTATTTTTTTTTATAATGTATGGTTATGCCTTTTATATGTTAAAATTTAAGATCAAATTAAGTTTTAATTAAGCATCGATTATTATTGACCTAATAAGCCCAGGGCATTACAGTGGCGCAGTGCGTAGCACGATCACCTTACAGCAAGAAGGTTGCTGGTTCGAGCCCTGGCTTTCTGTGTGGAGTTTGCATGTCCTCCCGTGCTCCAGTTTTCTCCACAAGTCCAAAAACGTGGTTTAGGTGTTCTAAATTGGCCGTATTGTATGTGTGTGAATGCAAAAGTGTATAGGAGTGTGGGGTTGCAGCTGGAAGGGCATCCGCTGCGTAAAACAAATGCTGGATAAGTTAGCGGTTCATTCCACTGTGGCGACTCCTGATTAATAAAGGGACTAAGCCGAAAAGAAAATGAATGAATGAATGATAATAAGCCTTCTCATGAACATGTACAAAATGTACTGCATAAGCTGCAACGAAACACAGCTTAAGCAATGTATTTCAGATTCACAAACACATAGACAGCACCCTCTTATGGATTTTTTATCTGTAAAACTAACGAAATGTAACCAGAGCAACATATTTTACGTTTTGCAAAACGTAGCTCAAGGCACGTATTTTCAACGAGCCTGGGTTGCAAAAAACGTTTATAAATTTTAGCCTTTAAATCTTGTCTGTTGGTCAAATGTTAGGTTATCTTTATTGATTTAATGTTCAGCACTGAGAGTTGCTTAAATATTTCATTGCCTACCCTAGTGATCGTGTGCGAGGTCATAAGGACACTCCAACATGGTAGCAGTGCGTATAATCAGAAGTTTGTAGAGTTGGGATAAGATTAAAGCAGTCCTTGACAACTCATCAGATAGTAAGCAGAGTAATTAAGAGGCAATTACGGCTATTACAAAGTACTCACACTGGCTCAGATTATCTCAAGTGCAGGGGAGCACAGTGGGGTGTGCGCTGTTGAATAAGCATGCATGTAATTAAATGACAACAGTTGTATCTGGTCCAGGAAAATGTAAATAAACACTTTAAACATGTATAATGCGTGTTAAATTAATGTTGCACATGCAAAGTCATTTAGTTTCTCACATGTTCGGAATACCTGCAGCATCTGTTCATACAGTTCATGTCATCTTGTGTTGCATCAATCCATGGAGGTCACATTCATTTGCACATAACGTAAACAAAAAGAAAAAAACTTTACTCAAGCACATGACAATACGGCATTGTTTAAAGGATTACTCTGATTACTCACATGAATGTGATCAAACCAGCAATATATTCCAGCTGAGAGCTCGTAGAGGCAAATGAGATGGTAATTCTGCTCCTGAAAATCTGGAACCTGAAACTGTTTTTTGAAAAGGGAAAGGGTAACAAACGTGTCCAGTAAAACCTCTTTATGTTCCTCAAAATAATTAGCCACAATCTTAAAAAGAATCAAGATAACACGTCTCTTCACAAAAGGGATAATAAGTCATTTGTATGCTATCTTTCAAATGAACCTAATTGGCCACGGTTATGAAATCCTGCATATTGCTTACGTCACCATCATTTAGTCAGAATATTTTGCCTAGGCACAAAAATACTTATTGAACTGGAATTAATGGTAATTAGTGGCACTCTAGTATGATATTTGGTCTCCTGTGGGTCACTTTTAATCTAAGAAGACATCCAGTGACTTCATTTTTTAGTGTTTTTCACAAGACAAGGAGAAGAAAAACCTGTATTTTGTATTTATTTGAATCTAATTTCTTTGGCATATTTAGCTGTTATATATTTATGCAATGATGTAAATAATGCCCTTCATTACCAAATGGATAAAAGACATAAAATGTTGAACTTGATTATCTCTCACACTGAACAATAGTTAGGCTGTTCCAGTAGTGGCAAGGCTTTAAAAAGCAAAGCTGGTGGTTTGTTACATTTCATGCTGAGCCACTGGTACCCTGCCAGTGTTTATTTACCCGAGCACATATTTTATTTATTTCAGAATGTTGTATGATAGTCAGTCCTTTTGGCACTGCATGTACCTTTAGGGCCAGTGAGAAGTACACAAGAATCTTTAACACAGAAATGTCTCTGGTCCATGAACAGATCATTTTGACTTGTGCTTTCATGTTAAAGATTTAAAAATCGACGCTGTCTTGGATATTGAGAGAACTGAAGTCAAATGTTTCAATCTCAAAGTTTGGGTTAAAGAAGAGTTCAGGCAAGGAGTTCTCCACAGCTTACTTATTTTGGAACAAAATTTGTCACACCCTTTAAGAGGGAAGTGATTAATATTACAACGGCGATCAATACAAGCGTAACTTATCCTAAACACCAGGAGGCCTGGAAACAACTGACGAGTAAGCACTTTAGCTAATGGCCCGTGCCTGCTGTGTATCTCTAATGTCTAGACTTCACTGAAGCTGCACAACTCCAGTACAATATATTCATTTGGAAAGATCTTCAATTGCATAAATAATCTTTTTGTTTTAATGTGAAAAAAATAAGGCATACTTATCAAGATCTATTTTGATTGAGTGATGTTTAGAGGATCGTTTATTCTTTTGAGGAAATACAGGGTAGCTTTTGATAATCTGCTTGATCTTTGGCTTTTTTCCAGCAGATCATTTACCTTGCAGCAGATTTAACTCTGGAGTTCATCATATAATGTGAATCAAATATTTCTAAGCAAATTCTTTTTAGCTCAGTTCCTTTTTTAATCAGAGGTTACCACAGCGGAATCAATCGCCAACTTAACCAGAATATGTTTTACATGACACATGCTCTTCCAACTGCAACCCATCACTGGGAAACATTCATACACACTCATTCATACACATAAGCCCCTTTCACATAGTGATACTGATAAATATGCAGAAAATTTCCGGAACAACTTTACAGGTAAATTTTAAAAAGCGCTGTTCACACAGGGGAGGACGTTACGGAATTTTTCCCGAAACGACCATTCACACATCCATTCCAAAATACCGGTTCTGACATCATTAACCAGAAATGACCTCTAAACGGCTGCGCTTGTATTTGTAAACATTTGACTACATTACAAACTCTGTGGATAGATAACTATTGTAAATAACTTTGATGAAAACATAGAGAAACACTTTCGCGTGTTGAGATGTACTAATATGTGTGTGTGCTGGTGCTCACTCCTTCACGGGCACATGCAACACGTCAAGCAACTGAAGGAAGCAGAGCTTGAAGGTAAACAAACAACGGCTTATCATAAGCATCTTATCGATAAATATTTACAAAGTTAGCATTAAGAGGGAACATATAAACTCCACACAGAAATGCCAACTGACCCATTCGAGGCTCGAACCAGTGACCTTCTTGCTTTGAGGTGATCATGCTATCCACTGCGCCTCTGTGACGCCTCCTGAATTAAATATATTACAATTTTTTAGATTCATGTTATAACATGATTCTGTTTAGCATTATTTCCAGTTAGAATCTTACTGCATTAGTTCCAAATGATTTTGTGAGGTGATTTCAGTTATTACAC